TTTTCTTTGTGTGTGTGTGTGTGTGTGTGTGTATATATATATATATATATATATAAATACCTTGCTACGTGTACTGCGTTAGGCTAACCGAGACTTGTCATTTGCACTTATATATTGTTGCTCTTTTGTTAGTTTTAATTGATTCTATTGTCCTCATTTGTAAGTTGCTTTGGATAAAAGTGTCTGCTAAATGACTAAATGTAAATGTAACCTGTAGCTTCCGCTGATTGTTGTACGTGCATTCATTCCGCCGGATGACGTAGGCGTAGCGTAAGATCCGGTGAGAAGTGATGAATGTGGAAGCGGAGCGGAGAGAGCAAAACAAAACACTGGTCACGAATTTGAAGCACAAAACGAGGATTTGTAAAGAAAAATGTGGGAGGATTTGGATATAAGCCGAGAGGAGACTGGTTTTCCTTTGCTAAAGTAAAGAAACGTTGCTTCCTTTGCTCCTGTAAACAAACGTCGGTTTTCACGAGACGAGCATATTCTCACCGGAGCTTACGCTACGCCTACGTCATCCGCCGGAATGAACGCGCGTACGACAGCTAGCGGAAGATAGAGATTACGGTTTATAATGTTTTAAATATGGATATGTTTCTTACACAAACGCATCGATTCGCTTCAGGAGGCCTTTATTCACCCCCGGAGCCGCGTGAGGCACCTTTTATGAGGGATGGATGCTCTTTATTGGACTTCTTTTGGACTATTAAAAAATAACACCCATTCACTGCCATTATAAATCTTGGAAGAGCCAGGATATTATTAAATATAACTCCGATTGGATTCGTCTGAAAGAAGAAAGTCATAAACACCTAGGATGCCTTGAGGGCGAGTAAATCATGGGCTAATTTTCATTTTTGGGTGAACTATCCCTTTAAATAAAAGATTTTTGTTATAAGAGATATTAAAAACAACTTTGTGCATCAAAACCTTCCTGGTAAAAAAAGATTGCAGCAGCCCAGCCGAATGTAACATTTTGTCTGTCAAAGCAAAATAAATAAAACACACATGCACAATACCAAAGACTTTAGATAGTCTTAAAGGGACTTTAACAATTGACACACGGTAGTAGGCTATATATGAGATGCAGGGCTCATGCATTACCTGGCGTTTAATCTCTCATCGTTTCTATCATTCAGTAACTGCTGCGTCAGATCAGTCAGAGAAACAAGTGCGCAGCCATCTTTAGAATTCTGTTGGAACTTTCGTTTTCGCTCTGTATATATTTCTATGGCATCGCTGTTGAAGAGAAGGCTTATTAGCTGGTGAAGTAGATTTACTAATTGTAAAGTTAACGAACGTTATCACGAGCTTTGTTAGGTTTGAAGCGGATCAGAGTAGATTTCAAAACGAGCGGTTCATTCTTAAATTCGTACCACTGACTTTACCTTCATGCAAACCGGTTCATAAGCAGCTACGTTTGTTTGAAGAAGCGCAACACACGCCGCACGCGCTTATACCAGCTAGTGTGGACATGCAGTTACTCACATATCAACATGTGCGATACAACACAGGGCTGAAGACGCGCTCACCCTCAGCCGAAGTCTACACAGCAGTGCAGAGACTGATGGGCGTGATGACGCAGAACAAAACCGGGCGTGCATTGAGATGTTTGATGCAATACTAACAGGATTTGTGAGGCTTTTGCAGGGCTAGAGATCTTATTAAACGGTATTGATATTAAAAATAGAAAATGTAATCAGATATTTTTTTGATATAACCATTTTGAGAACATCAATTGGAAATTGATTTGGACTTATAATACAAAATACTGTGTCATTAATAAAGTTAGTGAAATTTACTTTACAATTATACATATAATTTATCCAACTAACCAATTCCTCAAGAGATGCAAAGCTGATCTCTCTGAATATTGTGTTTCTTGTGGAATGCATCTTTTATTTGTTCAAATGCATGTATGTTACTTTTTTTTTTTGATTGATGTTGAATGTTTGTTTACTATGTTGAGTGGATCTAAAATTAATATAAGGAAAAGAAATGTCATATTTGAAGTTTTATATGCACAAATGTAAATGGTCAGAGAGGAGGCCCAATATCCATACCCTTATTTTTCTTTCATAAAATGTGAATGTCCTGTTTGTAATATCTTGTTATATGATATAAATGTTTAATGTTCAGCATATACAATAAAAAATGGTATGAGATGTTACAATTTACAGTAAGTGTTAAACTGAATTGCAACATACTCTTAAATATGTCATCAGTTTTACTTCAATATGACTTTTCCGAAAGAAAAATATATATATAGTCGATTTGTTTTTGTTGTTAGGAAAGTTGTATATTCATCAAACTAAACGGAGTAACTCAAACCCTATTTCACCCATTTTTGAACAGACTTTAACGTTTATTTAGAATCTGTAAAGTTTTCAAAAACATTAAAAAGCCCTTAGATCTGCATCTCTGGTAAATGTATTTACCATATGTTTGTGATGCCGTTTATTTTTAATTTCATCATTTGTTATTGCTGTGTTTCTGTTCGTGCTTGCAAAATGTAAAAAAAGTTAAAATTTGAAAGTTTAATTAAAGTATTTTAAATATTTTTATTGAACTTTAAATATTTTATTCTTTTATATAACAAGGATATTCTAATGCACATCATACATAGACATAAAACTAAATAATTATTAATGTGGGAAAAACACAAAATCACACACACACACTTTAAATATCTATCTATGCTCCCTCATATTAAATAAAGACAGTAAAAGGGCAAAAATAAAACCGATGCATCTGTTGCATGAGCACGTCTAATTTTACACAAGTAATCAAGATATTACAACATCTCTATATACTGTCCTGCCACAAAATCTAATGTTGTATCTGTATATTTTGAGACCTGAGGTAACATGAAGAAACTATAAACAGTTTTGTTTTTATTAACTAATATAATTATAAAAAAATATTTAGATTTAAATTTAAGGTTTATGTATTTGAATTGCATATAAAATAAAAAAAGGACACGCAACAAAATAACTAAAACTTAAAAATGAAAATGCAAAGAAAAAAAACTAAAAAACAAAAACGATTAATAAAAATGAAAATGACAGTAAAATAAGATGTAAATCTGTGGTAAAAGTGCAGTCAAACAGTTCAACGCATCTTTATATATGAAAATCCCTTTATTCAGATCCAGAAACAATGAGAGTGAAAAGAGTTTCAATGAGTTACAAACTTTATTATTTTCCATTGACTTTGCCAACATGTTGAAAACCCTTCTTCTTCTTGTTCTTCCTAAATTTCTTAGTAAAGCCGGCAGACTGAACCTGAAAAACAAGAGGACGTTACACATTCAAGCCTAAAAACACGATGCCACGACATTTCTCACAACATGCAGTTAAAACAAACACAGGTAAAGCAAGTTTATTTATACAGCACAATTCATACACAATGATAATTCAAAGTGCTTTACATAAAAGGAATATTAAAGCAATAAGCCCCAAGAAGCCGTGGTTTACAGTGAATTTATAACAGCTAAGGGGGGTTGTTAGGGGTTGCCTAAAAAAAAAATCAAGCACCGGAACTCTCCGCTTTATAAGAATAAAATAATCACAACAATAAAAGCAAAGTATAAAAAAGTTAAAATGATTAAAAACAAAGATTTAAAATGAATTAAAACAGTTAAGAATAAAAAAATTAGCAAAGTGCAATCATTGGTGTATAGTGTAAAACATATGACTGTAGTTTTTGTTACTAGTTTGAATTAGTTGTTTTTATACTTTGTTTTCACTTAATTTTAATACATTTTATTAATGTTGTTTCAGTCATTTTATTAGCCTTTTTTAATATGTACATTTAGTTTTTTTTTAGTTTTACATTTAGTTTTAGTTCAAGTAATTTTAGCACATCAAGTTAAACTGAAATGAGCAACATTTTGGCAAGTGGCTGAAATAAGTTTTTTTTAATAAGTAATGAATGTTTTCGTTAACTATAACAACACTGATACGTGGCACTGTGAATTCACTGCATGTAAATCAAATATAGATACACATATTTAATGATTAACTTCCATTATTACAGCAAACGTGATCCAGTCACACTCACCTTTTTGCGTTTCTGCATCTGGTTTTCTACTTCCATTTCATCATAATCATCATCATCAAATGAAATCAAAACTAACTTTATTAATGCATGCTCCTGCTCTTACTGTGCCAGGAACTAAAGCTATTAAAACATTTGTTCATTCAAATAAAGCTGAAATAAAATAATGTAACACTAAACTAATTAACCAGTAAAAAAAAGAATAAAAGTGTCTTGTGTTTTGACAAGACAAACAAAACAAAAAACAATTAGACCTCAGATCAGTAACAAACCTGCAAAATAATCACGCAATATTATTATATTAAAATTTTTTGCGCTATAAATCTTATTAACAACATCAGTGCTGAACATGACTACCAAACATTTGAATCATTTTTAGGATTTTAACCAGTTTGTTTACATAATGCCACTGTTTAAAAAAAAAAGAAAGAAAAAGAAAGAAAATCAATTATTTTACATATACTAAATGTTAAACAGCTTTTTAAAAATTAAATAATCGCGGTTTTAATGGGTTTCAATGGGTACATTTTTGTCCTGAAGGTCCCGAGTGTAACTATTTTTTGTACCTAAAAATGAAAGAAAACGAGAGAGAAATACTAAAATTCCAATAAAAATATATATTTTTGACTGAATTTATGCTGTTTGCATTAACAGCCAAAACGATGGGGAAAAATCTCCTTAAGGACATATGGGTTAAACGTATTGCTGCTGGTCTGTGAGGGTTAAAGTGTGAATTCACAGCCCCTCAGAAGTGTTCAGTACTTTTCTCTAGTGTAGTGTGTATTGTAGTGTGCAGTCAGTGTAGTATGTAGTGTAGTGTAGCATGTAATATAGTGTGTAGTGTAGTATAGTCTAGTGTCGTGTGTAGTATAGTGTAGTGTAGAATGTAGTGTTGTGTAGGTAGTGTATTGTGTAGTGTAGTGTTTTGTGTAGTGTAGTGTGGAGTGGAGTGTTGCGTGTAGTGTGTAGTATAGTGTAGGGTAGTGTAGAGTGTAGTGTTATGTAGGTAGTGTATTGTGTAGTATAGCGTAGTGTCGTGTAGTGTGTAGTATAGTGTAGTGTTGTGTGTAGTGTAGAGTGTAGTGTTGTGTAGGTAGTGTAGTGTGTAGTATAGTGTAGTGTAGTGTGTAGTATAGCGTGTAGTATAGTGTAGTGTTGTGTGTAGTGTTGTGTGTAGTGTAGAGTGTAGTGTAGAGTGTAGTGTAGAGTGTAGTGTAGAGTGTAGTGTTGCGTGTAGTGTAGCGTATTGCGTAGTGTAGTGTGTAGTATAGTATAGTGCAGTGTAGTTTAGTGAAGTGTGTAGTGTAGTATAGTGTTGTGTATTGTGTAGTATAGCATACAGTAGTGTGTAGTATAGTGTAGTGTTGTGTGTAGTGTAGGTAGTGTAGTGTGTAGTATAGTGTAGTGTGTAGTGTTGTGTGTAGTGTAGTGTGTAGTATAGTATAGTGTAGAGTGTTGTGTGTAGTGTAGCGTAGGGTAGTGTCAGTGTGTAGTGTAGTATAGTGCCGTGTAGTATAGTGAAGTGTGTAGTGTAGTATAGTGTAGAGTGTAGTGTTGAGTGTAGTGTAGAGTGTAGTATAGCGTGTAGTATAGTGTAGTGTTGTGTGTAGTGTAGAGTGTAATGTTGCGTGTAGTGTAGCGTATTGCGTAGTGTGTAGTATAGTGCAGTGTAGTTTAGTGAAGTGTGTAGTGTAGTATAGTGTTGTGTACTGTGTAGTATAGCATAGAGTAGTGTGTAGTATAGTGTAGTGTTGTGTGTAGTGTAGGTAGTGTAGTGTGTAGTATAGTGTAGTGTTGTGTGTAGTGTAGTATAGTATAGTGTAGAGTGTTGTGTGTAGTGTAGCGTAGGGTAGTGTCAGTGTGTAGTGTAGTATAGTGCCGTGTAGTATAGTGAAGTGTGTAGTGTAGTATAGTGTTGTGTAGCGTGTAGTATAGTGTAGTGTAGAGTGTAAGTGTTGTGTGTAGCGTGGTGTATTGTGTAGTATAGTGTAGTGTGTAGCATATTGTGTAGTTACTAGTATAGTATAGTGTGTAGTGTAGTATAGTATAGTGCCATGTAGTGTAGTGTAGTGTACTCACGGCTGTGTAGTGCTGCTGACTATGTGAGGCTCATACTGGCTGTAGTGGAACTCGGCCTGCGCGCTCAGGGTCTGGTATTTCCTCCCCGCGGTGAAGCGCTGCAGCTCGGCGAGGCTGCAGGGAACCTCGTGAGCGTTCAGAGCGACAGAACCACAGCTCACTCAACACACACTCTCCACATCATCTGACACGAGGAGGAAAGACTCTCTTTCCCCACAGTGAGCATATCAGCAGCTGAAATGTGAGTTTAGCGTCACAGTTCTGACCGTCTGTGAGCTGAAAGCTGGGATGTGTCTGTAGGAATGATCTCAAATCTTCCGGTAAATCCTCCATAATAGCAGAAATAAAACATCAACAAACTAAATCTATATGAGCAAAACCTGTTATTGGAATAATTACTACAACA